CTCATCCTCTGCAAAAACAAAAGAAGACCCTCTCCAAAGCATCATATCCTTAGACCCAAATTCTGAAATCATAATACCCTCATGAAATCCATTTTGGTTTAGCTTGGCAGCCCATATAATGAAATGTCTCTCTGTACTTAGCTCCTTCACAGTCAAAAATTTTAAAGAAAACACAATGTACATAATCCAGACTCTCTGTGAATTTTCCATTTTTACGTGGCTTATTTTTCTTTATTTCTCTTAATCTATAACTATCTGTATTTCTGTACTCTGTCTCTTTAAAGACTTTACCCTTTTTCTTTTTAAAGGCATTAACTTTATTCTCTATATTTTTTTCTTCTCTCTCTCAAGCCTACGTACACTCATCCAACACTTTGGTCTTTTATGTCTGAATCTGTTTTACTGTGAATCTGTAATTTTTTCACTATCCAGGAGCATTTCTTAAAATGTTAAGCACTTCTTAAAAACTTATGTTGCATCATGTACAGGTAATACGGTACTGCTTGTGTCCTGCCCAGTCTAAACCTTAAATGCGCTGTTATTATGGCAATTACGGTAGTCCCTGCCTGAGGTCAGCACAGTTCAGCATGGAGCAGCCTCTCCTGCCTCAGAGCCATTTGGTGCCCCTGAAACATTCACAGTTCCAGGCAAACAGCAGTCCACATAGGAGCCGCAATCAGCAGTTTAATTCTGAGACTGGGTGTGCAGCACAGAAACTCCTTTCATCCAAGTTACAGCCAAATCTGACACGCAGAGCACTGCGCAGACTGAAAACGCGTCTCTGTATGGCGGCAGGAATCCGCCATGCTCTCCAGCCTGTCTAAGCCTGATTCTGCCATCCGCCTAGGATGGAATCCACAGTAGGATGATAGATATGTTCATTTTGTTTCTTTATATGTAATGTAACTGTTCTTAGTAGCACAATCTTTTGCTTATAGGAACATTATTTGAATTAAATATAGAAGTATGTTTTCCAAACATACAGCATCAGGAGTGAACTGCTTACTACAGGTAGGTAATGGGCAAAATGAACATTCAGATCCAGGAGATCCTAAATTGAAGGCTATGTAAAATATTGGGTGTGAAATTCACAGAGCACTAGACAGCCAATCTACCGACCTCGTAGTAGGCCCAGAACCCAGCCTCCCTGGTATAGGGTCCAGCAGGGCCAGCACCAGAGGTAGGGGCACCAATTCCATTATTGGAGGGGTTGCTCAGAAGAAAACTGTGTCCATATTCTGGGAATCCAACAATGCGCTTCTCAGCTGGGACTCCATTGTTCTTCTAGTAATTCATGGCATAATCCTGTAATGGCAGTAGGTTAGGTACAGGACCCAAAGAGGCAATGGTCAGTATTTAATTATATTAGCTCCCTGTTTTAGCAGGCATATTATACGATGTTCATAACCAATGGATTTATTTCTTGATTTTTTTTTCAAAAACTTTTGATGAAGTTATAGTTCATGAGATATGGCCTATAACTTAAGAAGATCTTTGTTTAATTTGGACAGTTGCTGAACTTGCATAAATCAGGGATCTACTTTACATATTACTTTACCCCCAGTCTGCATTCCTGTAGGGTCTTACCACATTGAGGTAAGCATTGCTGCCAGTGTCAGTAGAATATTTGTAGAGGGAACTGTTCTCTCCTGTGTAGCCATCCCAGGAGCCATGGAGGTCATATGTCATGACATGGATTTGATCTAGGTGCCTGACAGGTAGTAAGATTTAAAATCATTTCTGATAACTGTTTCTTACATCTATGCAGACAATAACACCTTTTCCCAAGCAAGTACACAAGCAATGTCTTTTGAGTGCAAGACATCTCTAGACTGACCACCGCAGTGCTTTAACAGTTCCCACAGATGTTTGGAATAAGTACATCACTCACTGGGAAAGTTCACGGATCTCATAGCCAGCCTCAATGTTGGAAACGCCAGCAGCTACAGCTGCAGTTATCATCAATCTGGGCTTGTTGTTCTCCTTAGCCTCCTTCTCAAAAGCTTCACGAATTTCCTGTAGAACAAGGCAAGCATATTTGAAGTTAGTCTCAGAGATGTATATATAATAAATACATATTTTCACAGTGTCTTTCTTCTCTAAAGTACTTCAACTATTTTATCTGACATTACTCTATCAATATCTTAATAATGTCAGTAGTACAGATGATATTAATTTTAAAAGTTACAGCTATGCAATACACATAGGAGTGTGGGAAAGTACTTTGCAGGCTACTGAAACAGAAACATGGACACCAACCCAGGCACAAAATCTTCTAACTACATTCTGTCCTGCTATAAAATATGCTAGGACACTTTTTCACAACGGGTTTGCCATCAGAATGCAGGTGTTGTGAAAACCACTGCTAATTCAAAGCCAAAATGGGAAAGGAAAAGACTCACGTCAACATCATCGTCATTGGACAGGTTGATTCCAGCAAGTCCACTACAACCGGCCACCTGATCTACAAGAGTGGTGGAATCGACAAATGAGCCATCAAGAAGTTTGAGAAAGAGACTGCCAAGATGGGAAAAGGCTCCTTCAAGTATGCCTGGGTCTTGGACAAACTGAAAGCTGAGCGAGAGCGTGGTATCACTATTGACATCTCCCTGTGGAAGTTTTAGACCAGCAAGTACTATGTTACTATCATTGATGCCCAGGACATAGAGACTTCATCAAAAACATGATTATAGGCACATCACAGGCTGACTGTGGTGTCCTGATTGTTGCCGCTGGTGTTGGTGAATTCGAAGCTGGTATTTCCAAGAATAGGCAGACCTGTGAGCACACACTTCTGGCTTACACCCTGGGTGTGAAACAGCTAATTGTTGGTGTCAACAAAATGGATTCCACGGAGCCACCCTACAGCCAGAAGAGATACGAGGAAATTGTTAAGGAAGTCAGCGCCTACATTACAAAAATCGGCTACAACCCTGACACAGTCACATTTGTGCCGATTTCTGGTTGGAATGGTGACGACATGCTGGATCCAAGTGCTAATATGCCTTGGTTCAAGGGATGGAAAGTCACTCGCAAAAATGGTAGTGCCAGTGGACCAACCTGTTGGAAGCTTTGGATTGTATCCTGCCACCAACTCGTCCAACTGTCAGTTGCGACTGCCCCTCCAGGATGTCTATAAAACTGGTGGTATTGGGACTGTCCCTGTGGGTCGAGTGGAGACCGGTGTTTTGAAACCTGGCATGGTGGTGACCTTTGCTCCAGTCAGTGTGACAACAGAAGTAAAGTCTGTTGAAATGCACCATGAAGCTTTGAGTGACGCTCTTCCTGGGGACAACGTGGGCTTCAACGTGAAGAACGTGTCTGTCAAAGATGTTAGACGTGGCAACGTTGCTGGGGACAGCAAAAATGACCCACCAACGGAAGCTGCTGGCTCCACTGCTCAGGTGATTATCCTGAACCACCCAGGCCAAATTAGTGCTGGCTATGCTCCTGTAGTAGATTGTCACACAGCTCACACAGCATGCAAGTTTGCTGAGCTTAAAGAAAAGATTGATCGTCGTTCTGGCAAGAAGCTGGAAGATGGCCCGAAATCCTAAATCTGGTGATGCAGCCATTGTTGATATGGTTCCCAGCAAGCCCATGTGTGTCGAGAGATTCTCTGACTATCCTCCACTGGATCATTTTGCTGATCGTGACATGAGGCAGACAGTTGCTGTGGGTGTCATCAAAGCTGTGGACAAGAAGGCTGCTGGAGCTGGTGAGGTCACCAAATCTGCCCAGAAAGCTCAGAAGGCTAAATGAATATTACCCCTAACATCTGCCACCCCAGTCTTAATCACTGGTGGAAGAATGGTTTCAGAACTGTTTATCTCAATTGGCCATTTAAGTTTAATAGTAAAAGACTGGTTAATGATAACAATGCATCGTAAAACCTTGAGAAGGAACGGAGAATGTTATGTGGACCATTTGTGTGTGTGTGTGTGTGTGTGTGGCAGTTTTAAGGTATTAGTTTTCAAAATCAGTAATTTTTAATGGAAACAACTTGGCCAAAAATCTGTCACAGAATTTTGAGACCCATTAAAACAAGTTTAATGGAAGAAAAAATATGCTAGGACAATTATGGCACAGAATTCTGTGAGAAGTCAACCAATGTCTGATTTGACCTAAGGCCCACTTCACAAAAGGGAACTCATGCCTGGCACTGCTAGGGTGGGGAAGAACCAGTGAATAGATAGCCCAAAGAACTAGAGTAAAACAAAACACTAATGATCTATAAATAAAGAAATAAATACAAATAAAATGACTCCTCATAGTATTCTGCTATAGCCATAGACCAGTGCCTTATCTAATCATCATCAAAAAGATTTCTTCTGGTAGCAGATGAGAACAGAGTCAGAGATCCACAGTCAGACATTATACATTGAAAGAGTGTAACTCAGAGGTCTCCATCAAGTTCTTCCCCTCTGATCTCAGGGAATCCTGCCAAATAAGAGGCAGATTATTTTGTGTTTTGTTTTGTTTTTTAAAACAGAATGTTTCTGTGTAGCTTTGGCTATCCTGTAACCTATTCTGTAGACCAACCTGGTCTTAAACTCATAGAGATCTGCCTGAATCTGCCTCCTGATGTCTGGGATTAATGGTGTGTGCCGCCACCTCCAAGTCTGGCAGAAAGGTTCTAAGATCAAGAGGAGATAGAGGACACTAGAGCACAAGAACTTCTGAATCAACTAAACAAGTACATATAAGCTCATAGAGACTGATACAACAATCACGTGCCTACAGTGGCCTAAAACACATCCTCTTCATATATAACTATTAGTTTTGTATATTGTGATACTCCTCATTGTGAAAGCAAGTGAGCTGTGATTCTTGAGACTGTGGATCATACTCTTTACCTACTGTTGGTTTTCCATGTCCAACTTCAATACAGTAGTCTTTCCCTTACATTATTATATCTTATTCTTGTCATGTTTAGTTATTATCTTTTAGGAGCCTTTCCTTTTTTGATAAGGACAAAAAAAGAATAGGTGTTCCAGGGAAGGGAAATAGGGAAGAATGGAAGGAGGAGGGAAAGAGGAAACTAAAATCTTGATATATTGATATATAAAATAAAAGAATCTATTTTCAATAAAAGAAAAATTTCTTTATATATACATATATAATTTCTATAATAGTAAGTTTCCATATGATTTGTCAAAAAGCCTTTAGTGTAGGTTGTCACTCCCCTTATTCTCTCCTTTATTGGGCCCCACCATCTCTTCCCTGACTTAGTCTTCCTATTCTATTGTCATTTTATCTCTTTATAAAACTATATTCTATTTCCTTTCTTTGGAGGAGGGTATCCTCCTGCCTTATCCCTTTTTAATTATGCAACCTCTGTGGCTATTCAGAGAAAACACACATATACAAAGCTTAAAGTCAAAGATCCACATATAAGAGAAAATATGTGATGATTATCCTTTTGGTTTGGGTTACCTTGCTCAGGATAATAGTTTCTAACTCCATCCATTTAGCTGAAAATTTATTTTTTCTTGACAGTTGAATAATACTATAAAATATATATGTGTCATATTTTTATTATATGCTCATCAGTTGATGGACATCTAGGCTGTTTCCCATTTCTGGCTATTATGAATAGAACAGCAGTGATCATGGATAAGCAAATATCTCAAATTAAGATGCAGAGTTCATTGAGTATATACCCATGAGTGATGGACTGGATCTTGAAATAAACTGATTTTCAGCTTAAAATCGGAGAATATATCTGCAAACCATATATCTTGCAAAGGATGCTATCCCAAATATATCAAGAACTCATGTCAATAGCAAGAAAACAACCTAATTGTAAAAGGGAGAAGATCCGGAGTAGGGATGTTTTCAAAAAATAATATAAATGTCCTAAAGATATATAAAAATAGATATATAGTATAAAAAACTAAAACAGTATTGAGAGTACATTTTATCAAAAACAGAGTAGATAAACCATTTTGTCCATAATAGCACTTCAATATTAATTGTAACATTATTAATTATTTAAGAAACATAATCACTGCAAAGGTCTAGAAAATAATTAAACTTTAAAAATTATGTAATTAATTATGTTATTCAGTCTTTAAAAGAATAAAATCTGCCATTAGTAACAAAATTTTTAATTTGAAGATATGTTAACTAAAATTAGCAAGGCATAGATTAACAAATAATACAAGATCTCACTTATGAGAAGAATCTAAAATATTTGAACTCATAGAAGTAGATGGAAGAATTTTATCTTTTTGATTTTATTGAAAATAGATTTCATTCTCATACAATATATCCTGATTATTGCTTATCCGCCCTCAACAACTCCCACTCCTCCACCATTATTCTCTACTCTGTATTCACTCCCTTTCTGACTATTATTAGAAAAGAAGAGGCTTCTAAAAGATAGCTTAGCTAGACATGACAAAATAAAATATAAAAAATGACAAAACAACTGATTCTGATGTTTAAGCAGGGGAAGAATGGATTAAAGAAATGTTGGTCAGCAATACAAACTTTGAGTGAGATAGAATGAGTTCAGAGCTTATCTCTACAACAAAGGACCTACAATTCATAGCATTGTATCATATTTTGAAAACCATTTGTATCAACATGAAATCAAAAGAACCTGTGTGTCCAAGGGTCTTGGTCCTGACAATAATGCCTTTATGACTTTGATCATGTGGACCAGGCCATAAGTCAAACAGGGAAATAGCACAGAAGAGGGGGTAGGAAGAAGCAGAGATGGTGGACTACAGTAATTTCCAGAAACAACAGACAAGTTGCACATATGAATACACTCCACTGCAGGTGGAACACCCTGCACAAGACATCCAAGATCTCAAGCCAGACTAAACACCATCACGGAAAGGGAAGGTGGGCATAAGGTCGCATCTCTAGCTGAAGCACTGGTGCCAAATGATAGGTTCTGGGAGAGTGGTTGACTCCTTATGGGCAAACAATAATCCAATGGATTCCCACACACTCAAAAATATATGAACTTAGACTAAGTTTAAAACAAAGATGAGGACACTAAA